TGAAGAAGCTTCTCGGATGAGAGGTGAAACGTCTTCAAGCAACTTAAAGAAGTCCAGACGCTTTTCTTTGCAAGCTCCTTTGACTTTCAATTGAAGAGCAATTTCACTGCTGCTGTTGACTGTGTGTTATTGTATATACTCTCTCATACATATTTGAAAATAGTTTGAAGTAATTTGACTGAAAAAATTAAAAATGCTGGACAGGAAAGTGAGAGCTCTAGAGATCTAACTGATAAAAGTACAGCTGTTTTGATGAGTTGTGCGAGCAGTATGAACAGAAACAAAATGAGTGTGTATAAAAGCAGGCTGATGTTACTTCTACTAATAAAGAGTATTGAGAATGTTTTTGTTCTTTTCTGGGTCAAATGTGACTGTTATCTGTTCAGATGGATTTTAGATCTATGATTTTGGGTCAAACAAAGGAAAACTGCATCTGTAAGGAATATTAAGCAGTGTGCGTGTCATGTCTGAGTGTGTGTACACGAACACAGCTTTGTGTACGTAAATTAATGTTTAGTCAAAATTATAAATAAAAAAACAAATGAAAATAAGATCATGTGGTTTTATTTCATATTTAAAAAAATGTTTAAGGAGACGTAGCCACATAAAAATAAATTAAAAAAATATAACTGGTATAACTGGATACAGTATTCTGTGTTTGTTTGATATCAGAAAAACACTGAAAAACAATCTCTCAGAAGAGATCCTTGATCTTAAGGTTTTTAATTCCTCGTTAAGTCAACTTATTAAAAATTTTATGAATGGTTGACCTGAGGAAAAAAAAGTCAGTACATATAGTTTCTGCATTCAGAAGGTTGGCCTGAATAATTAAAAATACAATGTGTTAACTTGAAGGAGAGGATGTGTGTTTGTCTTTGAGGAGGAGGAGCTGATGCAAACTATGATCTCTACCATGTTTTAAGACATGATGCAGAATATAAGACAGGGAATACATGATTAACCACCACTGTACACGGAGCAGAGACAAATGGCCTTGGCAATGAATCATCCTGAATTTGTGGTTGTTTTTCTGATCCTTTCAATTTACTGGGCTGGTAAGGAAAGTGCAGACATTTTACTAACATTGTTGTGAAAGTGAAATGATATTCTTGGAAAACAGTCACTAATTATTCTTGTTTGTCTGTAGGTACTGAGAGTCAAACACTGACTGAGTCTGAATCAGTGATTAAAAGGCCCGGAGACTCCCACAGACTGACCTGTACATACTCAGGGTTCAGTGGTGATATTCATGCTGCTTGGATCAGACAGGCTGCTGGAAAAGGACAGGAATGGATTGCTTGGATCTACTATACTGGTAGTGACATCTCCTACTCTCAGTCAGTCAGAGGCCGGTTTACCATCTCCAGAGACAACAGCAGAAAGCAGGTGTATCTGCAGATGAACAGCTTGACAACTGAGGATTCAGCTGTTTATTACTGTGCTCGAGAGTCACAGTGACACAAGAGGAAGAAACTCTGTACAAAAACTCAGCACATCAAACCAAGTCAGAAAAACAAAACAATGCTCAGTTTGCTTTCTGCAGTTCACTTTGAAAAATTATTAAAGATCAGCGCACCGAAAGAAAGAAATAATACGGGATTATCAGGACCTCATATCATTAAATATTGTATCTTGTGTGTGCTCATTTGCTCTATGTTATATAATAACAATCTCTCAACTAATGTTGTGAATTATAATTTTCTTTTGCATAGACCAAAACAGTTTTACAAATGCCAGTTTTAAAATTTAAAATTTAAAATTGGCCACTGTTAGTATGTAAGCAAAAATTTCTCACTGACTGTTATATTTATCCTAAACAAGTGCTATTAAACCTAAATAGATTCTCCCTGCTCACTGAAACATTTATTAATGATGTCTTGATGGATGCTCAATCATCCAGGTTAGAAAATCCCCAAAAGTTGTTTCTGTTCATCTGGACGTAGCGTTTTCAGTGGGAGAAACTCATCAGAGTGACTTCTTCAGTCTCAGCTGACTGCAGGTTTTCCCAACCTTATAAACAGTACATTTGCACAATGACTGAAACTAGCACCACTGATAAACAATGAGCTCTGAGATCAGTTTCTTCATTATTAATATGGAAATAGTCATTCACTTTGACCAACAACCACTGACCAAAGACCATGAATGAGTGACGAAACGTTTGTCATCCATGGTCCACTGAAAACGCAATGTCCAGATGAACAGAATTGACTTTTTGGGATTTATTAATGATTAATCATTATTTATTAATGTCAGAGGTCAGACTATTTACACCGTTTTAACAGATATGTAGATCAAAATCAGGTAGACATTTTGCAATAACAGAAACTTATTATGGGGACCTTGGTCAAAGTATGAATGGTATGAACAGTTTATAAGGGTTTAAACTAATATTTATTTGTACATTTTTATAGCATATTAGAATAATTTATTTTTGTTTCCTGTGGAATTGATGCAAAAGCCTGATTTATTTCTCTTCTACTTATCTGACTTCAGTAAAGTTGACAGCGAGTTAAGGACATGCAGTTTAACAGTATGAACTACAGGACAGGACTGCTGCTGTTAACTATCTGCTGGGCTGGTGGTTAAGAATACGTAGCCACATAAATATCAATAATGTTAAAGATCCATGCTACATATTTTCTGAAATCAAAAGTGTTTTTTTTTATTTTAAAAACTCAAACTCAGTCATACTGTGTGAGTTTAATTACAGGACTTTGTTTTATCACATCCAGTGATTCTTTTCGTTCTCCCTTTTAGGAGAAAATGAATGATTAATCTTAATGATATTTTAAACTGGGACTGTCAAGCAGTGTGTCTGTAGTGCTGTTAGGCTTTCCTTACAAATCCTTACAGCACTTGGGTGATACAGTATGTGTGTACTAATACCCTGCTCCAGTCCTGCTGCTGGTGAGCCCGATGGTTGTTCCTTACTCACACTCACCTCAGAGGAGGCTGCATGTTTCCAATAGGATAGCAACTCAGTTGGATTTGTTTAAGTTTTGATATTTTTCTGTTTTAACACTCAAATTCTTAACCCCTTAATGCCCAGTGTATCATATTTGATACATACAGTTTTTGTGTTTTTGAGACATGTACATCATCAGTGTGTTTCCTCCCCCAAATAAAAATCTAAATAAATTTCACATTTTAAAGCAAAAAACTGCACAAAGCAACGCTGGATGTAGCAAATATGATACAAAATAAAATTCCTGTTTTTTTTAATATATTTATTTTTTATTGCCAAATGGTTTAATTTGAATTATCTGACAATTAATTCATGATTTAGGCTTTAAAAGTTTAATGTTTGAATCCTCCTGGCCCCCTTTTGAAATATGTCTCATCAAATTCTGTAGTCATGAATGCAAAGTTTCTTTTTATGTTGAAACTGACGTCTCTTACTGTGATAGTCATCAAGCCTGTAGTTTCCTGTGTGCCCAGGCGCCACTGTTGCAACAAAGGTTCACAGTTCTCCTGCTTCTTTCAGTTTTAACTCTGGGCCAAAACACTCGGAGGTAACAGAAAACATCCATCTAACTTCTCAGTGTGGGATTTCTTGGAGGCGAAAGTAATTGATCATCATGCACCAGCCACAAAGAGCTTTCACTTCATATATATTTCAAACTTTTGCATCTGAAATCCAAATGATCTTACTTAGCTAATGTACTTTAAGATTTTGTTTATTTATTTACATGACAATGAAAAAATGAAAATACTGCAAATGGACTTAAATATATGATATTCAGTAACTGAACTTAACTAGTTGCTTTTGTCGTGGAGTTTTGTGTTAATAAAGTCTGCAACCAGGTCAGTTGTGGTCAAGCTATTTTATTACTGCATGCAGCAGAGCAAACGCACACATCAAAACATCACGGTTATACAGTCATAAGAGCTCTAACCTTGGGGCGTCGCAGTGTCCCTTTTATAACATCGCACAAACTCTCTGTATGTCTCACCCAGGCTGCTGCTGGACAGGGAAGACTCCCACTATCATTTCCCAGATGCTGGCCTTCCTGAGAGTTCATCATTCTGAGCGATAGTGAAACATCCTTAGGCTTTGCTAAGCAGTTTTTCAGCAGGTCATACTGACACATACACATACTTTATCTAAGCAAACAACGGTTATACAAAAATCCTACAGTGAAGTTATAAACACCCAAAT